GTCTACAACAAACACTATGCCTGCGACAGTTGTATGTTGATGGACTCTTTTACCATTTTGTTTCAAGTAGTTTGAAGGCTTTTGTGTTGCTGAAAACGCCTTGTCTAAGAGATTCGATGTCATACCCCGATCCTGACATACGTCCAGGATCGACACGTGACATCACCAATTACCTGCACATCTAACATACCCCGCCTTTGGGAAATGGTAAACACAACTTAAGGTCCAACTACGTAGTAATTTTTCGTACATTTTATGGCTGCATTTAACTTCCTCGTTAGACAGCCTACGCACCCTACACAGGGATCAAGCCATTCATAGTTCATCATTCACTACCCATCTACATTTACCACAGTACGTTCAAGCCGAAAGATATAACACTCCTCAATCAATCATTAAAACTTGACAAGTATGGAAATACTAGATTCAGGGCTATATAGCAATCCAATATGACAATCAACATTTCCACTTCATCCATCATATAAATCACTATGTTTTCAACATGAAACCTTAATCCACAACATGTAACATATCCAAGAACCAACAAAGCACATTATTATTCTCAAGCCACAATGAGCAACGAGACTAATCATAATAATAATAATCATATCCCACATCATTCCGCAATCATGTTAATTAATCAATTCTAAAATCAAAGAAGCATGATATCAACATTTACTATGTTATTCAATCAATAAGGTCCCATATCAATTCACAAATTTTAATAAAGGATCCCTACATAATTCCCCACCTGGATTCCAAGTACTAACATGATAAGTCTAATTTATACACAATGTCTACTATGAACAATTCATATTCACTCGATTCTAAGGTCGAACTACCCTTATGGAAATGAGCAAGAATAGGGATTCCAGGCCACTCAACAGAATCCAACCAAAATACCAAGCGACCTCTTGTAATCTCTTCAGACCTGACATCTGTACAATCAGTGCCTACACCATGGGAATGGTGCATCGACATAAAGAACTCGAATAGGCTGCGAAGCTTGTGTGAGTGACAATAATACAAAGTATGTGATAATCAATAAAGGGAAAGACCATCCATCACAGTTTATAAACCTCAACATAAGTTCGTAAATATGAAAACATAGTCAAGTCTCTAACAACCCCGAATGAGTCACCCAGACATCCAACAGCTTTTCCCATTCAAACCACCAAGATTCTCAAAAACCATCGTTCATATGTACATTAAAAACTAGGACTAGAGGGACGCAGTTCGGCCGAAGCATACATAAGTAACCAAACATGAAGTGGCCCCCTAACACAGATTAACAAAGCAGAGCCACCCCTGAGAAAATAACTAAGTAGGCAGTGACCCCCCAATGCGGATTAACCAAGCAGAGTCACTCCTATAGCTGTTAGGAAGTGATCACCCAATGCGGATTAACCAAGCATGATCACTCCTAAGCATACATGGCCATAAAGATCACCCAACGTAGATTAACCAAGCGTGATCCACATATAGCATGGTCCCCCAAAGAGGATTAACTAAGTAGGACCACTAGTGACCCCCCCAATGCGGATTAACCAAGCAGGGTCAAGATAATCAGGTAGGTAGTGACCCTCCAACGCGGATTAACCAAGTAGAGTCACACCTACAGAATTGTTAGGCAGTGATCACCCAACGCGGATTAACCAAGCATGATCACCCCTAAGTATAAATGGCCATAAGGATCGCCCTACGCGGATTAACCAAGCGCGATCCACATATAGTATGGTCCCCCAATGCGGATTAACCAAGCAGGACCATTCATGTACCACTGCTACATGGTGCAAGAAATTCAACACACAACCTACCCACAACTCAACCCTTATGGGTTATAACGTAGTCACCACACCATCAACTTCTCATGACCACTAACTATCTTATCATACAAGCATAAAAGTTCTACATAATACTTCGCATAAGATTCTAGGTTCACATCGTCATAACATATCATACTTATCATTCACATTATTAAGAAGTTAAATAAGCACATATATATCACAATATGATGATCCATACACGTAAACCGATGCATATATTATCTGCATAACTCACTAACCAATATAGGCCCATTAAGCCCTACATAGTCTCTAGTAATACTGAATTTAATATTCTAGATCAATTCTTAGCATATTGACCAAAAGTAAGTAGTAATTAGATTAATACATATAAGGTTTCCCAAAACCCCCTACCTTGAATTCGATTAATTTTGTTCCTTTGAAGAACCTAATCGGAACATAGAATTACAATCAAAAGTATAATATAAGTAACACACCTTAATAACCAAACTAAGTGTTTAAACACAAAATTAATATTAAGTAAAGAAAGTACACTAATTCTCTCCTACTCAAATAATATCACTCAAATAGTAGTAAAGAAGATTAGAAAGGAATCTGGAAAAGAAAATAGGTGTGGCAAAAACAGTACTCTGCTTCTCCTCAAAATCTACAGAAAACAGCACCATTGGACCAAGTTTAGACTCCCTTTGGAACATTCAAAACTAAATCAAATCGCGTAATATTATATGGGTTTTGAAGCTTGTGTTATGTACTTTAAAAGCATACAAAGTTTGTAGAAAAATGGAGCTCTAAATTGGAAGTTATGCCAAAAAGAAAAATGAAGTCTTGAAACTGGAAACCCAGTTTTCTGCTGCTGTTTGGTAGCTCGCGACCCAAGTTTAAATAAGGTTTTGATTAACCAAAACTCAATGGAATTGAGTGAAAACAATTGGGTTACGATCATGAACATATGTACTTTCAACACACTAAAAATTTTCTTCAAAGGAGCACATAAAGACCTAGAAATTAAGAGCCAAAGAAGACTACTCGAAACTTGAGTTTTGTTTGCCAAGAAATCAATTTTCTGCAACTTACGTAACATCCCATCTCTAATTCATATAACAAATCCCAAAATAATTCCAGGTAGTCCAGAAGTCATGTATACAACATCCAAAACTAACATGACTCAAAATTAACAAGAAATTGACCTTTTTGAACCAAACCCTTGATCAAGAAATTTGATCTACAAACCCAATCCAAATTACCCAACTCTAATTCATGTTCAGGCTGGTTCATTGAATGATAGAAAACCCTAAATAAAATTAAGAACTCCAAATATATCATGGCAGTTTCAATTCAACTTAAGAAAAATAAATTCAAAAATCAAGATAATGAAGGAACAAGGAATTTACCCTTCAAATCTCTGAATCCTTCCTTCACAATCACATTCTCTAACTCCTCTCTCTTCGATTTTTGTTTGAAGAAAGAAGGATTTTCTTCCAAAAGCTATGGAAGAGCCACCTCATCCCCGTTTCTTTTTCTTCCCTCGCAAAACCAGGAAGAATGTGAAAGAACGGTCTCCCCCCTTCTCTTTTTTTTTTCCTCTTTTGCCCCTCTCTTTTCCTTCCTCCCCCTGCTGCCCTCTAAGTCCCTACCCTTTTTGTCTTATTGGTCCACCCTAAATCTTACAAGATTGGGCCTCTTTCCCACAACGTCGAAATTTATTTAATTAACAACTATAGTTTAGTAAATGATTTCAAATGTCCATAACTATATCGTTATAATCCAGACTCGCAAACGGCTTTCATCTATGCGTTCGTGATCTCGGAATCTATTCAACAATATAAATTGTGACCTTGAAAGGTCCACGGATTTTAAATAATTAATTTTCAAATTTCAAACTTCGTAACTATTTTAATTAAAATCTAAATTCAAACAAATTAAAATAAATTCTCAAGAAATAATATAAAATCTTAACAATACCAATACATAGATTATAACAGTGGAATCCAGGAATGGAATTTCACACTCGAAATCTCTTAAATTTCGTAACATGACAATACTTTCTAGGAGTAGGAGGTCCATGAAATGAAATTCTGTAGAAGGTTAGCATTTATAGAGATTTCCATTTGGGAGATGCATTCGGTGATCGTGCATTACTGTAAGACATGAGAACGATTTGAAGCATATGCCCCTTTCAGTTTCAGATGCGGTGCTACGTAATCTGTGATTCTTGCTAAATTTATAGCAGGAGTATACGGTGTAAGGCAAATAATGCTAGGTGTTGTAATCCTAGCAACTAGCTAGATGAAGGGCTGAGATTGTTTAGTAATGAGAGAGAATTCACCATGGATTCTAACGGTTATGTAAGCACCGAGTGTGAGAGTTTTGAAGAGAGAGAAGTAATAGAATATGCCCTGCTAGATTTTGCAGAGAGCAACATTTCTTTTCGAAATCTCTCCATTGTTAATCTCCCCAATTCTTTGTTCTTCATCCTTTCTTTTATCACATCACTAGATCAAAGTCAAGAATCATAACAAGGAGGAGAGGGTGGTTGTGGGCATGGATCAATGTAAGTTATGGAGTAAGACACAACAAAGAGGGTAGGGATTAGTTTCTTCTCATAGTTATCCTTCAAATTCCATAGTTTGTACATGTAGATAACCATACATGCATGTAAGGGAAGAATGTGTGTAGTTTTAGTTGAATGAATAATACTCTCTATCATTCATATGAATCTTTGACCCAATGTAACTTGGTTGTAAGCTTTATTTGTTTTATGATATGTCACATTCTCCACCCTCTAGAGATGAGGTTTTTTAAAATTACAATGACATCTTCTAGATATTCCATGTGTTATACAGTTTTTTGGGGATTTCATATTGTCTTTATGAATAGATGGTTATAATTAACATACATTACAAAGTAAGCCTTCATATTGGAACCTATTATGTGAAATGCTTTGGTATTTGTTTAACTCAGAAAATAAAATTAAGCTTCTATCACTCTTTGGATACATAAAGCATCTAGTGTGATGTTTGTGTGCTTGAAAGATCGAATAAGTTATAATTAGTGGCTTCAAGTGTTGAATAAATGATGGTTTGTGGTTTTATTGGTGTTCTTATGTTGTTTTCATTCACTTTATATATGTGAAATGAAATGCATATAATAAGATGATATATAAACAAATTCATGCTCGTTTTTTGTAGATGTCAAACTTAATATCAAACCGGCAGGCACCTAGTAGGGGCAGTGAGATACCTTTTCTAGAAGGTAATGTTGCTGCCACCTCCACACCTGATATGGCCATGACGGGTGTCCCTCTGGTCGCGTCTTTGGGGTTAACGGTGTCTACAGCTGCTACGTCATCGACTTTTTAGGTGATGCATTTTGTCTGAAGCGCCCGACAGACTCATCGACGGGCTCGGACTTCTGAGGAGGCTCAGCTGATTGGTGACGCTTCCTCTGTCTATGAAGAGGGGTCCCAAACAGGTAAGCTCGCTCCCTCCATCCTTTCCGCATTCTCCTCTTCTTCTGGTGTATATTAGTGTAGATAGCTTATATGCAAACACATTTAACCAAAAAAAATAGGGACCATATAATTATGGACATGCTCATTTAAACTGATTATATATCCTTGACTGTATATTAGGGTTGGGCACGGGCCAGGCTGGGCCTAAATTTGAAGGAACCTGGCCCTACCGTTTTAAAATGTAACGGGCTGAGCTGGGCCGGGTAAAAGGATTTAGAGTTTAGGAATCGAACCTAACTCGGCCCGTTTGAAACAGGCTGGTTCGAGACAGGTCCACAAGTCCTATTACTTTATTTTATTTTATTTTTTGGTTTTGGAACGGCGCCGGTCTACTCCTTAAGCTTCATGAGCTCGTCGGAATTAGCCTCCGCATTGGCTTGTAATTTTTGACTTGACCCAAATCAATATCAAATCTCCGATACAAACTTCAAATTCATAAACATTTACTCATAACAATGGATCGTTCACCCAGGGAGGAGTGAGAGAAGGCAGAGCAGAAGTAGAATGGAAGGGATCGTCCACTTCCCTATCATTGCAACTTGAAAACACTTCAAAGAAGAAGTTCTAGTAACTTCGCTCACTGATATTTATCTATTTCTAGGTTAATTTCCCTATATCTAAAAAACCAAAACCCAAAAATCGAATCCCTTTTCGACTCATGCATGCCTTCGAAATCAATTGAATTTCAAAAACAAGAACACTGAATTGACAGAAATTTCCCAAACAGAAAGGTATGCAGAGATTTCCCAAATAGAAGGATATGCAGAAATTTCCGAAACAGAAGGATATGTAAAAATTTCCATTTGGTTCAATTATGCAGGCACAACAAGGATATTTAGAGATATGTATGAAGGTACAACCTTCTCAAGCTCGTCTTGGACCTCCTGCAACTACTCGATGGAGATGACGATGAAGGCTTTTACCTCCTCAACGTCGAGAAGATGACGCTCTCATAGGTCCAGTCCTCGCGGCGAAAATGTAGAGAAAATTAGCAAAATCCAAATTGGGGTTTTGGGCTAAAAGCTAAAAATGCATGATTTGTGGAAAACCCTAGTTGGGATTAAGAACTTGAAGAAGAAGAAGAAGGTTCGAGGAGAGAGAAGAGAGAGAGATTGTGGGAGATGGAAATGTGGCTGAAACTGAGAGAGTAAATTCTGGAACCTTGGACTCGGGTAGAAACTAGGGTAGAAACCAACGGTTGAAATTGGATGATAGGTTATCATTCAATCTCGCCCTTTCATTATAATTAGAAACGGGTCGGTTTGGGTACCCGTTTTTCTAAGTGTCTGGACTCGGCCTACCCCATAAATGAAAAGGGATCGGCTCGACCCGCCCTGTTTGTTTTCTAAAATATTAGAAACCAACCCGTACCCATCCTGACCTGCGGTTCCTATACCTGTTTGCCCACCCTAATTGTACACACCAGCTTATGGTACTTCAAGCACAATAATCATTTTTAGCTTGTTTTCAAATAGCATCATAATTAAATACTATTCTTGAATTTTGAAGAAACTTGTATGATTCATAAGAGCTAAACACACCTCCTTAAAAACCAAATGTGATATAAAAGGAAGCATATATTAGCTGTTGTAAGTATAATTGTGTTCACTGTAACATTAACCACAAATCTCTCATCCTTTGTAGAATATGTTTATACAAAATGCCTCTTCTTTAGCAGCCGCCTTACGCATATACAAATTTATATATAAAGAGCATATTATCATGTATGTGTTAGAGAATGAGCGTAGGTTGAAACTACCCAACTTAACTAAGGACTGCTCTCCCATTGTCAAATTTCATAATCTGCACCGATAGCTACCATAATCTGCACAGTCAATGCAGTGCAGTGCAATCTTGTAAGTACCTTAACAAAAATTAGAGCATTTTAGTTTCATTTCTGCATTTCAATAGGGGAAGTGAATAACATGCATGCTAGCTAGTTATTTTGAATTGTGATTTAGATTAATCATTGTTAAGTAGCACTGAGAAGTCATATTAACAAGTTGTAAATTTTGTTTTAAAGTCCCCATTTGGCATAAATTGTTTGAATTGTTGGGTGGATGTGTTTGTTTATGTTATATTGTTTGCAAGTTTTAGGAAATGTTATAGTTTTAGGGGAGGTTCTGCCGAAAGACCAGGGGCCCTTGTAGACTCCAAAAGACTTCTCAGACCACACGCACCACGACCTAGAAGATCACCATTACGTGGGATCCTCGACATCGCGGCTGTAACAAAGGAGTAGCATAGTGCGTTGGCCACCGACGTTGGCTCCGTTATCCGAAACCATTGCCCCCTCAAGTGGGAGTCATAGAGAGTTGTGCCATAAGAAACCAAGGACGCCATGCTTTATGAATTATCGGTAAGTATTTTCAACCTCAAAAACTAAATTTTTATTAAAGTATACAAAGATTATAAATTTTAACAACTGTTTATTTGTTGAGTTTTGCAGCATCACTATGAGCTATCCAACCTCGATTCCAACCAAATGGAGTACATCAACGACCTTTGCTCCAGTAGGTTTACTCAATGGAAGAGCGACCTCCACAAGCATTATGAGCTATATGATGGTCTAGAGGTCACTCTAGAATTTGGGTGCCCTAAAGAGTTGCTGGATTGTTGGGATGAATGGGAGTGGCTCTGCAGCCATTTTCAAGACGAGAAATACTTGGTACGTATAATTTATATTTCAATAATATATTAATAAAAAAAATTACAATTTTAAAGGAACATTTCATTTTTTTTCATTCATTTGTTATAAATATCTAAACTAATACATTTTTTTTTAAATTCAACAGAAAAAAGTGAAGGCAAACTTAATCAATCGGTCGAAGAAGAAAGTTCTTCACCGATTCGGGTCACGACGCTTCTCTTATATGTTGGAGGAGCAACGTAAGGTAACCATATATTTATTTTAAGTTTTCAATCTTTTTCTCTTTATTACACAATTGGTAATCTATGTTAACACTTTTTAAATTATTTCAAGGGGGTCAAAGTTTCTTGAAATTGACATGTTCAAGGAGGTGTACGTTCGGCCCAGGGATGAGCTGACAGAGTAAGTAGCTTCATGTAAGTTCTTTCAAATTTATAATATTCAATTTGTATTAATATTAATCACATGTATATTCATATTAATTTGTTTTTTTTTTCATTTTTCTAGTCCATTATGGTGGAGTAAGGCCAGACAGTCCTGGAGGAGGTAGCTTCTCAGCTTCCCCTAGAGACCCCGATCAAGGAGGTGTTTCCCCCTGAAGATGTTAGGTTTCAGATCATGACCGACACACTTGATCAGACCCTTGGTCGTCGGCATGTGAATGTTCACCGGGGGCTTGGGAAAGCCCGCCTTCGGGACCTGTCTGCCTTATCCTCCAGGCAGAGAACTGGACAGGTCGAAACACTGACAATTGTAGTGGCGGGCTTGTAAGAGAGGATTGCGACCCAATAGTCTCAGATAGTGGCCTAAAACAATTTCATGAACCAATTACGTCGCGCAGTTCAGATTTTTGGCATTCACTTCCCCGATGTTTAACTAACTCCAGAACCAACCCCCCCAGCCCCTCGCCGTAGTAGCTACATCTTCTCAGCCCCCTGCCACAGCAGCTATGACCTCCTAGCCTCTTGCCGCAGCAACTACGACCTCCCAACCCCCCCCCCCACACGCGTAGCAACAACCCCACCAACCGGCGATTGTGACGTCGTGGACTTCTTTCTTTAGTTTTATTCTAAATTGTTTTTGAATTTAAAATTTTTTTTCGATTGTATGTACATTTACAATATTTTTTCAATTCAATATTCTTCTTTACATTTACCATTTTTATTTTCATTAAATTCATTTTTAAATAAACAAAAAATAATAATAAATAATAAATTATTTATAAAACTAATTTAAAAATAAATTAAAAATAAATAATAGATTATTTAAAAAACGAATTTAATTCTCACTACAATGGCTTCTATGTCCGTCGTACAAAAGTTTGAAGGTCGAATAGTAGTGTTCGTCGCGCAACAATTTGGGGGTCGACACCTAGTTTCGTCGCTTGTTATGTGCAATGACCATGACTTCCGTGGTGCGATCTACATTCTACGCAACAAATACTTTTCCTTCGTCACGCAATGCCTAACGTCACAACCTTTGCGCGACAGAATATGTGCGATGGAGTCTTCGCTGCCCAATGTTTCCAACGATAGTTTTTCCCTTTGCGCGACAGTTTCCCCTCCGTCGCCCAAGTTATTATTCCTAGTAGTGTTACTAAGGGTCTCTATGGACCAGATATTAAGCAATGTGGGGCAATGAGAGAGAATGTAATTTCTATTAAAAAAACCAAAAGTAGTCACCCTAATGATTAAGGTTGAAGAATACCCTTAAGCTTACGGAATGGGTGACAAGAGTTGAAAAAAGGGTCTCAATTCCACCACGACCTCAAATCGCTAGATTGCACGTAAAAGCAACAAACCGAATAAGCCCACGTCTTAACCATGAGCATGAACATATAATATCTAACAGTCACACTATCTCGCATAAATGAACATAATATCGAGTCTTCATTGACACATGCTGACACACGAGCTCATGCAGAGGTATTCCAACACGAACATGATTGGGTGTAATAATGATTTACGCTCTAGTACTGCAATCACGTGAAGACTGGCGCTATGCGCATCATATACGAGTCCTAATTGCCTATAGCAATTTAGGACTGGATTGACACCTACAATGGATTCAAAGTGAGCGTACGGTGTGATGTAAACATACATGTGAAGACTGGCATTGGCCCGAACAAGTACTAACACTAGTGTAGTATACGATGAACAGATAACATAAATATGATTATGTAATGCTAAATCGATAATTCAATAATTTTAATAAATAAATTTCGTCGGTAAGCTAATTCATAAATTTCCGATACGCTAATTTTTATATCGATAATTTGGACATACCAAACTTGCATGTCAACTCACTATTCACTAAAAACTTAGAAAAAAAGTGCATGGGTTTGATATAACCGAATAACCATATATAAGAAAAAATAACCGATTAAGAGACGTTCAAACATATGATTATACAAATCATATATCAAAGACACTTAATAGTTTAAAGATATTTCTTTTCACTTGTGAGTGAGAGGTTTTAGTTTCGATTATTGCCAAAAGCGAATTTAAATTACATTATTGCTAGCCTATTGTGAGGTTAAACTCACCTCATCCCCTTAGTATGGACAATATCATTTGTTAAAAAAAGAAAAGAAATCATATATAAAAAGAAATACTCTACGCATATACTTCAAGTAACACACGTTATACTAAAAATTGAAATTATTATTTGATTAAGTCTGCCAAAGTGTTGAAAGACCGACAATGTTATGAACTAATCGTGATTGCCTTAGTCACAGTGAGGTTTTAGTTAATAGTAGTGAGGACTAAAGTGTAAGGTAGTTAAAAGGCATAATTGTAAGGGGTTAAAAGTATGGGGTTCGATTGTAATGGGCCAATACTTAGTAGAAAGTTTTAGTAATTGTCAGTCCTTGTCCAGGTGGCACTTTTGTATTGGGGAATTGCAGGCATGTGGGATATACATGCTCCCGAAATTATTGTAATGGCAACTTTTGGAAAAATCAATTATAATTCTCTTTGGTTCTCTCTCTATCCTTTCACCTTCTCTCCCTTTCATAGCTACCGGTTCTAGTTGATTCTCCGGCGCCGGTTGGTATCATAACATTGGTATCACCCTTCGTTCCTGGATTTTCCCATCCTTGTATGCCCCGTTCCAAACCCACCACTCGTTCCACAATGGATGCCTGCTTTGCTGCTTTCGAATCTGAATTTCCATCGATCATCCGCGAGGCAGTGAACTCTGCTTTTGATGCTAAGCTTCCAGCCCAACTCGATGCACGCCTTCCAGTGTATTTCGATGCGCGCCTTCCGGCGTATTTTGAGCATTTCCGCTGCGAGCTCACCCATGAACTCACCTTTCGTCGTGAGGGTGAAGGTCCATCCATCCCAACTACTTCAGATCCACCTGTTCCTACTGAGCTGGCTCATATCCCACCACCGCCTCATCCTGGCCTTCCGAATCCACGGCCGCCGTGGCAACAGCGCCTCGACTTTCCCAGATTCACTGACGGTGATGATATCCTTGCTTGGATTTACAAAGCCGAACAGTTCTTCTCCTTCTATGGGATTCCAGATGCTCAATGTGTTCTCACGGCCTCCTTTCATTTTGAAGGTGCGCTTCTTCACTAGTTCCGTTTGATGGACTGCATCACCACCACCCCCACTTGGCTGGGGTTTACAAAAGCCATTTGTCGCGAGTTTGGCCCATCTGCTTTCGACGATAGTGCCGAGGTTCTCTTCAAACTTTGCCAGCTAGGTACTCTTCGTGATTATATCATTAAATTTCGCCGCTTAGCTACTAGATCACCTGATATTAGCCCTCTTCTGTTACAAAGTTGCTTTTTAGGGGGGTTGAAAAAAGAACTTCGCTATGATGTCAAATTGTTAAAACCGACCAATGTCCATGAGGCGATTGCCATTGCGGTGCAGCTTGATACCAAGCTCACAGAGCTAAAATCGGCCCCCTCTCAAAACCATACAGCTTCTAAACCCTTTTCAACCATTGTTCCACCTTCCTCCCATACTGTGCCACACACTAGCAACCTTGCTATTAAGAAGCTAACCCCGGAGGAGATCCAGAGGAAAAGAGCGCGAGGGGAATGCTGGTTTTGCCCTAATAAATGGGTAATGGGGCATAAGTGTGGTTTTAAACAACTATTGATGATGGATGTGATGGATTCTGAAGTTGTGGAAGACAATATAGAAATTGATCACCCTGAGTTGCAGCACAAGGAGCTAGTTAATTCTAACTTGGGGTTACTTTTGTATTTCATGGAAGAAGAGAAACTAGAATCCTGTGACTTAAGTTCAGTGCAGTTGCAGGAGCTGCAGCAACTCTTGGGGTAAGTTTGAGGCACTATTTGTCTTACCTACCAAGCTTCCTCCACCGAGAGACCATGATCACCATATTCCTTTGGTGCAAGGTGCCAAACCCCCAAACATCCGACCCTACCACTATGGTCCATTGCAAAAAACAGAAATAGAAAAGGCAGTTCAGGAGTTGCTGGAGGCAGGTTTCATAAGGCCAAGCCATAGTCCATTTTCTTTCCCTATGTTACTAGTCAAAAAGAAAGAAGGCACTTGGAGAATGTGCATTGACTATAGGGAGCTCAATGCCCTCACTATTAAGGATAAATATCCCATACCCCTTATTGATGACCTGCTGGATGAGTTGCATGGGTCTCTCTATTTCTCTAAACTAGACTTACGATCTGGATATCATCAGATCTTAATGCAACCTGGGGACATTGAAAAGACTGCATTTAGGACTCATGAAGGACACTATGAGTTCCTAGTTATGCCTTTTGGGCTTACAAACGCCCCTGCCACATTTCAAGGTTTAATGAATGCTTTATTTAAACCCCATTTGAGAAAATGTGTGTTAGTCTTCTTTGATGACATTCTTGTTTATAGTCGGACCTAGGAATCCCATTTAGCCCATTTGCAGATGGTGTTTAAGATATTACAGACCAATCAACTCTTCTTCAAGAAATCTAAATGCTTATTTGGCCAAAATAGAGTTGAGTACTTGGGTCACATTGTCTTTAAGGAAGGAGTGGCACCTGACCCTCAAAAAATTGAAGCTATACAAAGTTGGCCTGCACCAAGAAACATCAAGGAACTCAAGGGGTTCCTGGGTTTAACAAGCTACTATCACAAATTCGTACCAGGCTTTGGCAAGATTTGCCAGCCCTTATACCACTTGACAAAGAATGATGGTTTTCATTGGGATGCCGACACTCAACAAGCTTTTAACAAGCTTAAAACAGCTATGGTTTCTCCACAGGTGTTGGCACTACCCGATTTCTCCAAGCTTTTTGAATTAGAGTGTGATGCCTCAGGCTGTGGTATTGGAGCTGTACTATAACAAGGAGGAAGGCCTATTGCTTTTTCAAGCCGATCACTAGGTCCACGAAATCAAGCACTCTCCACCTATGAAAGAGAACTAATTGCAGTGGTTTATGCAGTACGGAAGTGGCAGAATTATCTACAAGGCCGTCATTTCATAATTAAGACTGATCATAACAGTCTTAAATATTTCCTACACCAACGAGCTAATACTGCATTCCAACAGAAATGGGTATCTAAATTGTTGGGGTATGATTATGAGATACAGTTAAAAAATGGCTCCCAAAATGCAGCAGCCGATGCCTTATCCAAGTTACATGGGGTGCCTAGGCTACAAGACTCGTTGGAGTCAACGGGAGCATGCTATGCCATTTCTTACCCATACCATGAATGGATTGATGACTTAAGAAGAAACACTGAACAAGATGAGTGGATCAAAACAAAGAAAAAAGAAGTTCTTGACTCAGCACTCAAGGGCACAAGTGATTCTTCTTTGGGCAAGTACACTATTGACAACGGATTTTTGCTTTACAAACGCAGAGTGTTGTTGAGTCCTCACTCTGAGTGGAAAAGGAACATTTTAGCAGAATACCATTGTACTCCTTCTGCTGGTCACCAAGAAGTACTTAAAACATACCAAAGGGTCAAGAGAGGCTTCTATTGGCAGGGAATGAAGAGAGATATCAAGACTTATGTGGCAAAATGTCAAGTGTGCCAACAAAACAAAGTGGAAACCATTTCTCCACCAGGGTTGTTGCAACCTTTGCCTATCCCCCAAAGAGTTTGGACCGACATTAGCATGGATTTCATAGGAGGACTGCCTTTATGCAAAGGAAAATCTGTGATATTAGTGGTGGTTGACAGGCTGTCCAAGAGTGCTCACTTCATAGCAATGTCCCACCCATATACGGCAATCACAGTGGCTCAGGCCTTTATTGACAATGTGTTGAAACTTCATGGCATACCAAGCTCAGTGGTCAGTGATCGAGATCCTATTTTTGTCAGTGCTTTTTGGCGAGAATTGTTTAAATTACAAGGATCCAAACTATGTATGAGCTCTGGTTACCACCCCCAAACTGATGGGCAGATTGAAGTGATGAACCGGTGTCTTGAAACCTATTTAAGGTGTTTTGTGGGGGGTCAACCAAAGAAGTGGGTACAATGGCTTCCCTGGGCCGAGTGGTGCTTTAACACTTCCTACCACTCATCTGCCAAATTCACACCTTTCGAACTTGTTTATGGCTATCCTCCTCCCCAAGTTCTACCCTATGAATTAGGTACTGCAAGAGTGGAAGCCGTGGGACAAGGTTTAATGGAAAGGGATAAGGTCTTATCCATGCTAAAACACAACCTGGAATTGGCTCAGAATCGCATGAAGGTGCAGCAAGATAAGAAAAGAACTGAGAGGCAATTTGAAGTTGGGGAATTTGTGTATTTGAAACTGATTCCTTATCAATTGCAGACCCTATCTCCTCACCGCTACCATAAGCTCCTGCCACGATACTATGGTCCTTATGAGATTTGTGAGAAGGTTGGAAATGTGGCCTATAAACTGAACCTACCACCAAACACAAAAATCCACCCTGTTTTCCATGTGAGTCAATTGAAGAAACACCTGGAAACTAGAGTGACACCACAGACTGTCCTGCCACAGGTTGATAAAGATGGATTAGTAGGGAATGTACCTGTTGCAGTGTTGGCAAGGAGAATCTATAAGAAAGGAGATGTTGCTGGAGTTCAATTACTAGTACAGTGGCAAGAGCAAGAGGAATCAGAGGTGACCTGAGAGGATTTTAATGAGTTCAAAGCCGAATATCCCTCATTTCCTCTCTAAAACCTTGTGGACAAGGTTCTCTAAGGTGAAGGTATTGTTATGAACTAATCGTGATTGCCTTAGTCACAGTGAGGTTTTAGTTAATAGTAGTGAGGACTAAAGTGTAAGGTAGTTAAAAGGCATAATTGTAAGGGGTTAAAAGTATGGGGTTCGATTGTAATGGGCCAATACTTAGTAGAAAGTTTTAGTAATTTTCAGTCATTATCCAGGTGGCACTTTTGTATTGGGGAATTGCAGGCATGTGGGCTATACATGCTCCCGAAATTTTTGTAATGGCAACTTTTGGAAAAATCAATTTATAATTCTCTTTGGTTCTCTCTCTATCCTTTCACCTTCTCTCCCTTTCATAGCTACCGGTTCTGGTTGATTCTCCGGCGCCGGTTGGTATCATAACAGACAATCGGATTGCTGAACGTGCAAGCATGATTATACGATTCATATATAAGAGAAAACATTGAGGATTCAATTGAGGATTCGATTGTTTCACAGAAAACATTGAGGATTCAATTGGTTCACAGCCATCTGCTTCCTCCACGGATCTTCTTCACAGCACAGCATCTGCCTTCGTCTCACTCTCACTACTCTTGTATTTCACTGATTTGGGGTCTTACGCAATTACAAATTTAAGTCCATTCATGTGTTGATCTTGGTTTATTTCTGTCACTCTCTATCTGACTTGAAGATAAAAACCCTAATTTTAGATTGTTCTCTGAATCCAGATTCATTTCATTCACGACAATTCTTAACAAATTTCCCCAATATTACATTTTCCCTTATTATTTTCATACGTTTTAAGGTTCTAATCAGTCTTTTTCGACCTTTATCACTCCCTATACAATTGTGAATAAGTAAGTTCCATGTCTGCAAAACTCTAATTACTCTGATCTAATTATTTCAGGAACCTAGAGGTTATTAAATTCGTTAGAGAGGTGATTTTGGATTGAATCCCAAAGTTCCCTTCCTATTTCTAGGGTTGATGTTTTGTGCACATTTTGGGTGGTGGGTGTTGTGAATCATCACATTTTATTGAAGGTATTTGATCTGGGTAATTCTAAATCTATGAACTGTTTTCTGAGTTTCCAAAACAGTTAAGCAGTTTTGAGGAAGCCCTTTGATTTATGAACTTTGAAGGAGTTGTATACATGCCATGTTTGGTAGTGCAAAAGTGGTCTTGATTCGTCTGCAGCTTACTACAGTTGTGGAAGTTGTGGTTTTGGGATAGTATAGGTTGAGTTCAAACATCCTTGAGAAATAAGGGTTGGCACAGATGGGTAGGCCATTGATTTTTGAGATCTTGAACAAACCAGCAATAAGTTGTTTCATAGGAATATGCAGTGCAATTTGGTTCTACATACAGAAGAAAAACATTGGCTATTCACATGTGGGCTTGAGTTATGAAACTGAGGTTGCAGGGCACCATTGGAGGATTATAACTTCAGCTTTCTCTCATATAGCATGAAGGCCGTGTCGAAGCTGGTAAAAACGATTCCTAAGTGCATCAGGTAACTTCTATATGGTTTTCCCAAAATTAGATCACTTCTAATTCTGATCTGTGTTCTTCAATCATGTTGTCTTCGTCTGTTTTTAATTGTTGGGGCAGGTTCTTGACTATTTTCAGGGTATGTGGCTGTGAGCCCACATCAGAGGCCGATTTGACATTCCGTTGTTTGTGAGGTTGCCATGAAGAAGCCTGACTCTGCCGTGAAGAGAGATCGGAAGGCCGAAAAGAGGAGGATTTACAACAAATCCCAGAAATCTGAAATCAAAACCCGGATGAAGAAGGTACTTCCTTTTTCGGCAAGTTCATTTGATTTTAGCTGAGGGTTTTGCTTCTTTTGGCTTGCATTGTATATAAAATAAGTTTATTCTGACTGTTGTCTTAGGTAAGGGGCATAATAGTCTTGAGTAGATTGCTGAAAAGTAACCTACTGCTAGCTTTCCTTTTTGTAAATTAGTTTGTGAGGCTATCAGTTAAAACTCATTTCAAAAAAGAGAGATTTTCTGCTTTACATATTTTCTTTGAATATGCATGTTGGATATGGTGTGCATTGTCCTACTGTATATTGGTGTAGGTCGTGATGTCATTCCACTAGTGTGGAGGCAATGTCGGGGATGATGTACATATCCCACTTCCTCACTGGGTGACAGAAATTGGCCAAAAGAATCCTGATATATATTTTACTAATAAAGAAGGGAAACGCAACACTGAATGTCTCACGTGGGGAATTGATAAAGGGCGGGTTTTAAGAGGCCGCACTGCTGTTGAGGTATGGTATTCTAGAATTACTTAGTTATGCTGGTCTTTTATTTCTATGGATTGCCATATCTCCTTTCCTATATTTGTCTTCTTTTACATGTTCCACACAGGTTTTGAAAGAAACTATTGCTAAACCTATTCCAACTTATATGTTCTATATTTCTAAGAATTTTCCTTTTGTATGCTCTAAGAATCAGACCCTATGCATTCTTACTGTTTAATGCTGAGAGTTTCTATTCTGTTATATTATAATGGAACCAATGCAGGTTGCCTTTGAACAGTTGTGGTTACAAAATTAGCTACTTGAACAAGTCCTCAACCCTTTATGTTTTTAATTACCTGTTTAAATGGCTGCCTACACTGCAGGACACATATTATTTGTGTGAACTGCATTTTCTTAAGGAAACAGAACTTTTTTGGAATCCATCTCTTTCTAATCAAAGACATTCAATTTCTTCCCACTCATTAAACAATGTGTTTTTATGCCAGCTCACTTGAATGTATATAAAAGCAAATATTATATGAGTTTTAGTTGCATTTTGGTTCCCTGCCGTAATCAAATTTGGATCTAATGCATGGCTGCTTTACTTTAAAAATCTTTTAGCATTTCAAGACATTTATTCTTCACTGCATGGTCTATTAGGTCTCTCTACTCATTAAAAATCTCTGGCTCATTGTAGAGTAAGAACAGTGGTTTAGCAACCTGGGAACCAGCAGGAGCAGCAGAATGGTTAGAAGTAAGAATTTTAAAGAATTGAAGTCATGTTGTTGAACTTAGTCTGATGCGTATGAAACTAAAGTTTTTGAAGGCGTTATTAATTAGTATACCTACTGGATATTCTCTTTTCTTTTTTCTCATGTTGAATCCCACAGAATTCTTCGCTGACATTGTGGTTGAGCATGAATATGTTGAATGTACTTCATCTGCAATTCAGGCTATAGTTTTGTTTAAGAAGTTGTGACCTGGCCCCAGGAAGAAAGAGATTGATCAATTTATTACCAATGCTGCACAGTACCTGGAAAATACACAAATGGCAGATGGTTCATGGTATATCATATTTTAAAATCAAAATTTGATTATATACATTTTCTTTGATTAACAATTGGAGAAAAATAACTTAGTTAAGAACATTTGCACAGGTACGGGAATTGGGGAGTTTGCTACACATATGGTACCTGGTTTGCTCTTGGGGGGCTAACCGCTGCTGGCAAGACTTTCAGCAATTGTGCAGCCATGAGCAAAGCCATTAGTTTTTTGCTCGCAATCCAGAAAGAGAACGGTGGTTGGGGAGAGAGCTACCTTTCATGTCCAAAAAGGTAAGATATGGGAGGTGGATTATGTTGAAGCTAGCTCTAGGATTCATAATTAATCTCACTGTCTTAAACAAAAATATTTCACTCTGTTGCGGGTGATACAGGAGTACGTTCCTCTTGAAAGAAACCGATCAAATTTAGTACACACAGCTTGGGCTATTATGGGTTTAATTCATGCAGGACAGGCAGAAAGAGACCCTACACGTCTTCATCGTGCAGCAAAGTTGATAATCAATTCACAGATGGAAAATGGTGATTTTCCTCAGCAGGTATCAGCAGGTATTCTCTGTTCGATTTGTCCATTTCTTTGTGTAATTCAATTCAATGTGCTTTGTTTTCATCAATCATTTGGTTATCTTAATGTAAATTAGTGTTTGATTTATGGTCAATGTTCGTAAATGATCAATTTGAGCTATTTTTGTGTGGCCAATACTGAGTTTTTGATTTGGGATTTGAATTTATTTACAAATAACGATCCTTTTTAAATTTAGAAAAGAGCATGTTAAAAGACCAATTTTGTTTACAGGAACTTGAATAAAAAATAGGCCATGAGTGAAAATCAACCAGCAAAGTTTATGGTGATTCACTAATTTAAACATAAACCAGCTTTGAGAGTCATGCTCACCCATTCATCCTAGAATTGGATTTTGTTTTCCACTTCATTGCATTTGAATATTAAGCTTTGTCCATAATTCGCTAAAAAACATTGTCTATTATGTTTCTATATGTAAAAGCAAAACTGCTTATCTTATCGACCACATTCACTCATGTATCCCTTTGTTTGTTCATAATTGTGTTGAATTTATTCGACTTAAATGTGTTTTATTCATCCGAGAGCATCTGGAAAGCAACTACATTCAAAATAGTAAAATGTTGAAGTTTTATTGGTTAAATATACTTTTAGTTTGTTTCGTGAAAACCAGGACACCAAATGGAGATATTTCTCAGTGTGCTTGGAACTAGGCCTGGCAAACGAGTCATGTTTGTCGTTTTCGTATAACACCTGTTATCTTAACGGGTCGTGTCGTATCACATCCGTTATCTTAACGGGTCCTTAACAGCTTGGGTCACTTTGGGTAAAGTGACTTGACCTGTTAAGAAAAATATATATTTTTTTCTTAAATTTGCACATACCATACATTACCACATAAATATTACTTCAAAACATTAAAACACATTTGTCGTTTAAGTACTACATCTACGCTCGAAAATAAGACCCTAATAAATAAACATCCATACACTACTAGTCTATTAAAAAATATGAAATGTGCAAGGATATGAAAAATGAAAGAGTTTTTGTTTTTGAGGTTGTGAAGCCATTCTCAAAAGTTTAAACCTTGCCAATAAAATTCAAAGCTTGCATGTTATTCCTTTTACAAAATCCTCAATTTTCATCGATCATCATGATCCACTAGTGTAAATATTTAAAATTGATGATTGAATTCATTCATTGTATTCATATAGGGTCAAGGAGTGTGGCTGTAAAAAATCATTAAAATCGGAGTTAAAATAACCGTTAAATCGTGATTTTTCGTTGATAACCGTTGAAAAGTTTTGTCTATTTACTTGATCTCTAAATGTTTGTTTTTTGTGATTTTTGGCGTATGCGATCTTGAAGTATATACAAACAAGTTTGACGGTTGGATCGTTGAAATTAGTTTCATAGAATGCGTATCTCATCAAAACTATGGATTCACTAACACCTAAGAGTTTATTTATACTTTCATTAAGTATAACATAAGATTTTGTGGTATCCACTGGTGTAAACATTTTAAATTGAAGATTGAATTCATTCATTGTATTCATATAAAGTCTCATCAAAATCGGAATTAAAATAACCGTTAAATCGTGATTTTTCGTTAATAACTGTCGAAAAAGTTTGTCCAGTTACTTGATCTCTAAATGTTTGTTTTTTGCAATTTTCGGCGTATGCGATCTTGAATATATATAAACATGTTTGACGGTTGGATCGTCAAAATTAGTTTCGTAGAATGCGTATCCTATCAAAACAATAGATTCACTAACACTTGTTTATTCATATTTTCATTAAGTATAACATAAGATTTTGTAGTATTCAATATTTTAAATTAAAGATCGAGTTCATTCATTGTATTCATATAGAGTCAAGGAGTGTAGCTGTAAAAAATAATCAAAATCGGAGTTCAAATAACCGTTAAATCGTGATTTTTCTCTGATAATCGTTGAAAAGTTTTGTTCCGCTATTTCATCTCTGAATGTTTGTTTTTTGCGATTTTTGGCGTATGCGATCTTGAAACATATACAAACAAGTTTGACGGTTGGATCGTTGAAATAAGTTTTGTAGAATGTGTATCCTATTGGATACATTCGCTAACACTTCGAGTTTATTTATACATTCATTAAGTATAACATAAGATTTTGTGGTATCGATTAGTGTAAATATTTTAAATTGAAAATCGAGTTCATTCATTGTATTGATACAGGGTCAAGGAGTGTAGCTATAAAAAATCATTAAAATCAGAGTTAAAATAACCGTTAAATTGTGATTTTTCGTTGATAACCGTTAAATCAGAATGTAGCTCTGTAATATATATATATATTAAGTGGATTTAAATTTATTTATTTTGTATTATAACACTTAAGAAATTGAATGGTATGTATATTTAAGTCGATCTAATGGTCACCAATTTTTAATATTTAATTTAATATATATATATATATAATTATTATAGTTTTTAGCGATATAAAATTATTAAATTAATATATATAATTATTATAGTATTTTTTTAGGGTTATAAAATTATTAAATTAATATTTTGCTTATCGTGTATTGTGTTTTTCAAGCGTATACCCGAACCAATCCGTTATATTAACAGGTGCTTATCGGGTTATCCGATAACGATCCGATTCTTTATCTTGTCGACATGAGCACCTGTTAATTTCATATCGTGTCGTGTCGGGTAGGCCTGGCAATTCCTGACACGACCCGATAACCCGACACGACACGACACGAAATTAACAGGTGTTCGGGTCGACACGATAACGAAACGGGTCGTTATCGGGTAACCCGATAAGCACCTATTAAGATAACGGGTTTGTTCGGGTATACACGTGGGTAACACGATACACGATAAGCAGAATATTAATTTAATAATTTTATAACCCTAAAAAAATACTATAATAATTATATATATTAATTTAACAATTTTATACCCCTAAAAACTATAATAATTATATATATATATATATATATTAACTTTTAAATTAAATTTTATACCCCTAAAAACTATAATAATTATACATACAAAATAAATAGATTTAAATCTACTTAATAAATAAATATATATATACACACACACACACACACACCATTGAACTTTATGGGATACAAATTATATGAAACTAATCTCAACGATCCAACTGTCAAACATGTTTGTATATACTTCGAGATCGCATAAACCAAAAATTGCAAAAAACAAACATTCAGAGATCAAGTAACGGGACAAAACTTTTTGACGGTTATAAAAAGAAAAATCACGATTTAACGGTCATTTTAACTCTGATTTTAATGATTTTTTGCAGCTACACTCCTTGACCTTATATGAATACAATGATTGAATTCGATCTTCAATTTAAAATATTTACACTAGTGAATACCACAAAATCTTATGTTATACTTAATAAAAGTATGAATAAACTCTTAAGTATTAGTGAATCTATTGTTTTGATGGGATACTCATTCTACAAAACTAGTTTCAATGATCCAACCGTCAAACATGTTTGTATATACTTCGAGATCGCATACGCCAAAATTGAAAAAAACAAACATTCAGAGAGCAAGTAACGGGATAAAAAATTTCGACGGTTATAAACGAAAAATCACGATTTAACGGTCATTTTAACTCCGATTTTGATGATTTTTTACAACTACACTCCTTGACCCTATATGAATACAATGATTGAATTCGATCTTCAATTTAAAATATTTACACTAGTGGATACCACAAAATCTTATATTATACTTAATAAAAGTATGAATAAACTCTTAAGTATTAGTGAATCTATTGTTTTGATGGGATACTCATTCTACGAAACTAGTTTCAACGATCCAACCGTCAAACATGTTTGTATATACTTCGAGATTGCATACGCCAAAAATTGCAAAAAACAAACATTCAGAGAGCAAGTAACGGGACAAAACTTTTCGACGGTTATAAACGAAAAATCACGATTTAACGGTCATTTTAACTCCGATTTTTTTTTGACAACTACATTCCTTGACCCTATATGAATATAATGAATTAATTCGATCTTCAATTTAGAATATTTACACTAGTGGATATCACAAAATCTTATGTTATTATACTTAATAAAAGTATGAATAAACTATAATAATTATATATATATATATATATATATATATTAATTTAACAATTTTATACCCCTAAAAACTATAATAATTATATATATATATATTAAATTAAATTAAAAAAATTGATGACCATTGGATCGGCTGAGATTTAATCTCAGGCGTCCATTTCATAATTATATATATATACATATATATATTTAATTAAATTTAAAACATTGATGACCATTGGATTGGCTGAGATTGAATCTCAGCCGTCCATTGTAGGCTATTCCTCTTCTGTCTCATTAACTCAGACTCAAATCATTCTGTCTCTTTCGATCGACTTCATCACTTCGTCTTCGAGACCTCACGCGAACGCGGCGCCTCACCCTCCTCACGGGCCTCACCTCGTCTCAGATCAGTGACCTCACCGGCTCACTCTCCTTGTCGTCCTCAAGTCTCGACCTCACCCAGACTGTCACCCTCACTCAGTCTCCTCACTCACTCCTCACCGGTTCGCCCACTGTCCATACCAGTACCACCCAAATCCGGCTCCTGAATCGAGCTCTTGGTCTCATTCCGCACTCCTCCTCAGTGAGTCCTCACTGAAAAAGGTTAGGGTTTCTAAATTAGGGCTTTTGGAATTAGGAATTTCTGAAATTCAGGTTTCTGAATTAGGGATTTTGAATAGGGACTCTGAATTAGGACTTTTGGGATTTCGAATATTCTTGTATGCTGCTAATTAATTGGTATTTTTTCAGAAAAATTTTGTTTTTTTCATACAGTATCTGCATATTTTTATACAGTTAACTAAGATCGGTTTTATCAAATTATTGTCATGGTTTCAGTTAGTTTTAAGTTTTCTGTATCAAGTATTAATTTTTGTTTTTGAAATAACTGACAAAAATGGTTTTTTTGGGTATTTGGATGTCCAAATTTAAGAAAAAAATGTGTTTTAATGTTTTGAAGTAATATTTATATGGCAATGTGTGGTATGTGCAAATTTAAGAAAAAATATATATTTTTCTTAACGGGTCATAACGGGGTAAAGTGACACGACCTGTTAAGGACCCGTTAAGATAACGGGTGTGACACGACACGACCCGTTAAGATAATAGGTGTTACATGAAAACGACACGAACACGACTGACACGATCCGATTGCCAGGCCTAGTGTCGGGTTATCGGGTTGTGTCAGGAATTGGCAGGCCTACCTGGAATATTGGATGTTACATCACATCTCAATATATAAGTGGTGAGATATTTATGTTATAAAGATTAACAACAGGAAAAGTACATTTTTCTCCATTTATATAATGAAACGTGGAGTGTCATTCGTGTTTCGGGCACAATAAAACATTTCTCCACCAAATGGGAGGCCTGAGAAATTTGGTTCACAAAGTGGGCCTAGGCACCGAGAGGTGATTTAGCCCAAACTTTAGTTCTACAGTAGGGCAGCCGAATCCCTTCCGACTTTTGAGGCAGAAAGGCGAATGAACCGCCGTCGCCTCCCTTACCTCCAATGAGTTCAGTTGAGTCTCTTTTGCTTTTTCTGGAATTTAGTCACGGACATTAGCATGGACGGGTCGAAGGGGCGACGATTCGTCGACCCTAACTCAAATGACAAACCTGCTACTCGTTTGTGGAACGTAGTAAACGAGGATCAAGTAATTACAGCGATGTATTCTCCCTTTTGTATAGGAATATGCACGGGGATGATGAGCGCGGAAACTTTGAAAAATATATGTGCAAAGAAATATACATGATCCAAAAGATTGCTAACAAGTGCGTCTTTCGAGTGACTTACTTTAGGGTTTGTTTGTGTTAATAATTTCACTTGTTTAGGGATTTAAAATGGTTACTGCTCTGCATTTATTTAGGTTGGAGTCCATGAACGATCTTGCTGCTGAGCCAATGGAGCCGGATACACTTGCCGATATAGCTAATGGACTTCGACAGATCGAGAGCAGTTGCGAGGTAAACTGACACGTTGTTGTATACATGTATATATTTGTATATATATATATACATGTTTATAAACCTAGATTTGATCAATAATTGTTCTATATAATACAAGATTCGTGGATTATTTTTTTTAATTTTTGTAATTATGGAAACCCATTTACAAATAATCCACCCCTCCGCTCCTCTAAATCATATCTTCTTTTTTTTTTTTCTTTTTCTTTTTCATTTTTCAAATTTAACCGAAAGAAGGGGATGTAGCTCAAATGGGAGAGCATTCGCTTAGCATACGAGAGGCACGGGGATCAATACCCCGCATCCCCAATTCAAGACGCTTTCATTTTCAAATGTTGCCAAGTTGGGAGTTAAATGTAACATGCAGGGTTGATTTGGTATTGTTTGGCTCCACAACTTTTATCAAGAGTTGCTTTCTTTCTTTTTCACCCTTTTATCTCCTCTGGCGTAGCATTATCTCTTTATAAAATTACGTGTTTGAGAGGCTAATCATAATTACTCTATGCATTTAGTTATTATTATCTTGGAAAGAAAAATAAACCAATTAAGTTACCATTTAGTCTATTTCTTATTAGCTTCTCGTTAAATAATTGATTCTTTTGACACCGTGTAGCTTTATCTTTTCTCAAAATTGTGGCACATGCTTGAAAGACTAAGCATAATTAAGTCTTCATTTATTTATTTATTAAGGCACGTGTTTAAAATTCTTTAATTGTGTCCTATCGGCAAACCCATGAAAAACTCAAAGAAACACAATTGTATTTGTATGTATCTCAGTAAATGCATTCTTCGTAACAGTCCATAGAAACTGCAAACTTCAATAGAAGGTTCAACCACTTATGATGAAGAAGAAGAAGAATAATTCATATGCAGTTTGACAATTAATGCATACTAGCTTCTTTCATTCAGATTCTGCACTTCACTTATTAGCTTTTAAGCTTATATTCTTCTTATCGAGCCTATGCAGGTTGATATGCGGCTTGAGGAACATGTCAATTATCTGGTAGATGAAGAGTATCACACTCCAGCCTCACAATTCGTGTTGAATTTGACAAGTGCTGCTCAACTCTTTGCAAGAGCAGCTTCCGAGGATGGGAGAAGAATTCAATTGGCTTATGCTACAGATATGGTGGCCGCTTTGTTCCATCTCTTTTATTTCATGGCTCGACAACTACAGCTTATTCCAAACTGTGCAACAATTAATTGGGTTAATTTTCATTGTTCTCATCAGTTTAAGGTTTGCTGTTTTTGTTTTCTATTTTCTTCTTTCATTTTCTTTTCTTTTTGTATGAGAGGTCGCACTTGGTGCGATGGCAAGTGCCTTCGCCCATGAGCGGTAGGTCTCGGGTTCGAGACTTGGGAGCAGCCTCTCCATAAATGGGGGTAAGGCTAGCCGACATTCACCTCTCCCAGACCCTGCTTAAAGCGGAAGCCTTGTGCACTGGGTACGTTTTCTTTTCTTTTTGTAATATTATGTTCACGGTTCACTGCATTACTACTTGCGAGTTACAGGAGATGGTTGGAGCAACTGAAAGTCTTTTGGACAGATGCTTTGAACCCCTCATATTTTGGGACATGGATGATTCTATATTTGAAGCGATTGGGGATTGTTATAGGACAAGTCTGGAGAATGCCAATAAGTTTCTAGATTGTTGCATAGGTGATCAATGGTGCGCTATTATACATCCATTTGCTATCCCTCCACTGCGTTCTGAACCTTTAAGACCTGCTATATCAATATTATGTCAAGCATCTACGGCCATAACCTTTTCCAGGGGCTGCAAGCCATCATTCAGTCTTGGTCTTCTTGTTGATGCTGAAAAAGAGTATGATCCGGCACCCTATAACTACACCCTGTCCTGGCGCCCTATAACTACACAACTGTGAAAGAAGCATTTATGACCCTTTCACTTCTAAGGGACCACTTGCACAAACAGGTTGAAGAGTCAAAAAGGTTGGCCGGTGTTAGTGGCTATCAAATGCTAGAGAATTTTGAGGAAGAGGTTGAGGGAAAGCTGTTTGTGAAATCGGAGTTTGAGTCTTTGGTCTGGGAATTGGGGTTGGAGGAAAAAATGGGCGCATGCTTTGATTAATGTCTCATCCTGTTTTTATTCCTTCGACTATTCTGAACAATTCCTCAGTTTCATTTTTCAAGGTCAGTATGCTTTGCATAGTCCTTTATGATCATGTGTGCTTCGGTTTTCCTCATATATTTTTTTAATTAGTGCCTGTGGTGCAAATGTGACATCGAAAATATGGGCAAGTCATGATTTTTGAGAAAGACATTTCAACTGGTGAGGTCATAGATCTGATGAAGTATCCTATAGTACTGGAAAAACTAAGCTAGCCAACTCCCAACATGACAATTTGCATTGGAAATTGTGTCGACGACCTTCTTGGGCTTTTAAGTGCCGAGGTTGGTATCGTAGTCAATGTTTCTCCTGATCTTGTTAATGTGGGGAGACAATATGGGGTTACCCTTCGTCCAATATTTGAGATGTTGGTGCAAAGGTAATTGGGACGTGTACGTAGACAAGAAGTAGGGGGAACATGAGGGGTTTTGTATGCAGTGAGTTGTTGGAATGATGTTGTGTGTTTCATTCGGTTGTTGTTGGGCATAAAGTAAGAGGTAATGCAAGCATAATCTATATGTTTATATTGAGGTTTGCTTCTATTTTTGTGGTTTTTGTCCAACATGGTTCACCTTGATGGTTTATCACAAGAAGTTGTCATTTTGATCTGCCTGTGTCTGTTTCTTTTTCTCTTGCAAATTTTCTTATTATATTTTTTTCGGGATGTTGCTTACTGATGCAATATGATTCTTCTGATAAATCTTTGTAGAATGAAATGAAAAGATTGGGACGGGAGGATCCACGTATGTGTAAGGAGGTAAGTATGGCGAGAGCTTTCATTTTGTGAGATTAAATATTTGAACCAATTTGCCGGTTGACTTGGTGACTAGGTTTATATTTAAGTTGGGTTTTGTTTCTTGTCCAGATATCAAGAATTAGTTTTTCATTTTGGTTGATCCCCGTCAATATCTTTTTCTATTTTTTTCATTATAAATGGATCATCATCTTCCTACACCCAGTAGATTTGATCGTAACTCATTCGTGTTTTGAGGCATCAAAAGTTCATATTGCAGTGGTGAGCTGAACTGTTCTGGTGCATATGTCTGTTTTGTCTTGTAATAATAATGTCGAACATGCTCTACGCTTTTGTATGTAGTACTATGTAGTGTTGGAAATTATATGTTATAATTAATATTATAATATTTAATTTTTATATGATGAAAAATAAAAGTCATGTCATAGTTGAATTCAAATTCATGAGTTACACATACAATATATTTTTAACTACAATAGTAATAAAATAATTTCACATACATTCCCTCTAGTTAAAATAATTTCATGAGTTAAAAGTATATGGGCTGAGTGCCTGCACAAGCGCAGAGCATGTTCGACATTACAAGGAAAGATTATTACAAGACAAAACAGACATGCACCATAACAGTTTTAGCTTACCACTGCAATATGAACATTTGATGCCTCAAAACACGCATAAGTTACGATCAAATCTACTGGGTGTAGGAAGAAGATGAGCTATTTATAATGAAAAAAAGAAAAAGATATTGAAGGGTATAAACCAAAACGAAAAACAAATTCTAGATATCTGGACAGGAAACAAAACCTAACTTAACTATAAACCAAGTCAACCTGGCAGATTGGTTGAAATATTCAATCTCACAAAATTAAAGTTGTCACCATTCTTACCTCCTTACACATACGTGGATTCTCCCATTCCAATTTTTCATATCATTATACAAAAATTTATCAAAAGAATCTTATTGCATCAGTAAGCAACATCCCAGAAAAATATAATACGAAAATTTGCAAGGCAAGAGAAACAGACAAAGACATATCCAAATCACAACTTCTTGCGGGAAAACATCAAGGTGAACCATGTTGGACAAAAACCACAAAAATAGAAGCAAACCTCAATATAAACATATAGATTATGCTTGCATTACCCCAACAACAACCGAATGAAACACACAACATCATTTCAACAACTCGCTGCATACAAAACCCCTCATGTTCCCCCTACTTGTTGTCTACGTACATGTCCCAATTGCCTTTGCACCAACATCTCAAATATTGGACGAAAGGTAGCCCCATATTGTCTCCCCACATTAACAAGATCAGGAGAAACATCGACTACGATACCAACCTCGGCACTTAAAAAACCAACAAGGTCGTCGACACAATTTCCAATGCAAATTGTCATGTTGGCTAGCTTAGTTAGTTTTTCTAGTACTATAGGATACTTCCATCAGATCTGTGACCTCACCAGTTGAAATGTCTTTCTCAAAAATCATGACTTGCCCATATTTTCGATGTCACATTTGCACCACAGGCACTAATTAAAAAACAATGAGGAAAAACAAAGCACACATAATCACAAAGGACTATGCAAAGCATACTGACCTTGAAAAATGAAACTCTGTAATTATTCAGAATAAACGCAGGATGAGACATTAATCAAAGCGCCCATTTTTTCCTCCAAACCCAATTCCCAGACTCAAACTCCGATTTCACAAACAGCTTTCCCTCAACTTCTTCCTCAAAATTCTCTAGCATCTGATAGCCACCAACACCGTCCATCCTCCTGCTAAATTCAAAGTAGAAGATTGATGAAGAAAACGGTCAAAATCAAGTGCTGAACCAGCCAACCAGCATTCTTTTTTAAAATACAATTGCTGAGCAGTGAGGATTGTTTTGTCTCAAACCAAGGCCCTCCAGAACCGTGTGAAACACTGGTACATTATCTTGGAGAGTCATTCATGCGCCAAAATAGTCATTGTGCAATTCTCACTTCTCTATTTCGGAGTGGTTAAAACATTTCTTGACAATCGTCTTCATACACACACTTCACAGTTTTCTTTTAATAAAAACAAAAAATGAATCCTCAAGATGAGAAGGTAGAACAAAAATGTCCAAATTAGTTTGATGTTCTGATTCATCAGAATATTCTCCGAGTATTATTAGAAATTATTCTTAGCCGAAACTCTATTGGCGTCAAGTCTCCCTGTCTTCGACTAGGACATTGAACCTAGATTAATTATGCAATTGATTCAATCCTTATTCGGAAACTATTCGTGATTCTTGATAATTGTCTCATTCAACAGTTCATAGTATATGGACCGAGTGCCTGCAAAAGCGGGTCCAAACACCTATACAACACAAGTAAAAGATGATTGTGAGGTGCTAATTTTTTTTTTTTTTTTTTTTTGAGTCAATTGTGAGATGCTAGTATAGTTTAGATAGATAGTGGTTTTTTTTTTTTTTTTTTCTGTCAATATAAATAGATACTATTTGATTGGGCGATAGTTGCACAAAAAAAATGTATAACAGTGTGTGTATGTGAAAAAAATACTCACAAAATCGAGTAGAAACCGTGATACAGAAGTGGAATAGAAAAGTTGAACAAACTTAAAATATAGACTAGAGGGAATGTATGTGAAATTATTTTATTACTACTGTAGTTAAAAATATATTGTATGTGTAACTGTAAAATTTAAGTAGAAATAATGAGTAGTTAAAAATTCTTTCCGATTAGAGTTCGTATGGGGATCAAAGGTTTGTCTTGCCTTATTAGTATTATTCAAATGTTAAATATTGAAGCTAAAGGGTAAAAAAGGGAAGTCGAACGCATACAACAAAATATTAAAAGAGTCCACCGATTGGAAATATGGAATTGGGTTCGTATTCTCGATAAAATCACTTGTTAGGGCGAAGATTTCTTCGGAGAGGGCTTCTCGACTCTCAGCATAGCTCCCCAAGAGATTGGCACTTTGGAGGTATCGTCGGGCTCTTGCTTGCTGATGTGCTGTAAGAAGAGGACATAGTTAGTTTTGAAATGTGCCTTTGTCGGGCCTTAGGTGTAGGCCTTGAGGCTCGCAATAAAAACTAACCAAGTGCTAGGCGTGCCACTGCTATCTTAGTATAGCAGATGTAGAACAAGATTGTATTTAGTCGATTACTTGCGCCCCAAGTTACTCGGACTTTTTGTTATGAAAGGGTTATCGTGGATGGGTTAAGTCCACATTAAGTTCTTTTTCTTGCCTTGTGACCAAGGACTTTTAATTCATACTCTTGTATATTCGAATGACGGGAGTCCATATCCCTTAAGTCATTTGTTTGGTTCTTGATTGATTTTAAATGAAAGCATATCCATTAAGCTGACCAGATCCAGATGCAAATGAGACTTTTAAAGTAGGAAAACAGATGGATATGACTTGAATACATGCTGGAGAATACATTAAGCAATAGATCTATTATCTTAGAAAATACACAAAGAACTTTAAGCAAGATTTCACCTTGTGGGGCAAGGTTGAACTTCCTGCAATCACTTCTCTTTGAGTTTACAGAGGTTTCTATGCTAAAAAGGGATGGATGGCAAACCAATTTGCACAAGGGAATCGATACTACGCCACTAGGGGTGATAGCTGAACTTTTAAACAAGACAAAAGATAGCTTTTATGAGGGAGATATCCTGAAAAGGATTGAGCTCTGGGGCTAATTACAGCTTTTGGATGCAAATCTGGTTTGAGAGCAGTGTTTGTATGTTTGTTTGTTTGACTGGTTAAGTGTCCTTGTCTCTGGGGCCTCTTCCTCTTTTTATAGGAAGATTAGCCTGACTGCAGTGATTTCGCTTTTGCCCGAAAGCACTTGGAGGGCAGTGAGTCACTAGCTTTTTACTTGTATTGCCACTGAAAAGTGCTTTGTGGCTAATTGTGATTTAGTCCCTTCACTTGATAATTAAATCATAGACATATGGCCTATGCATTAATGGGAAGGCGCCAATTTGTCTCTGGGCTTGATGCTTAGGCCTCGGGCAAGTCTCCCTTTAATTGGTATCTCTGGACTTCCACACATTTGCAGCTTAATGTTCAAATATTAACACAAGCATTGCCCCCTTTAATCATTGTTGAGGCTGTAATCCCAAGTGCTAATAATTAGGGGTGGATTTTTTTGCCAAATTGCCATGCCAACCGAATTACCAACCGTGCCATACCGATTTTGTGCCAAATTTTAATGGTACGGTATTGTACCGTACGGAAATTTCATGGTACGGTATTGGTAATGGATACCATTACCACGGTATTACCGTACCATACCGAAAATACAATATAATTTATAATTTATAATTTATATAATACATAATTATATAACACATATTTATAATATTCCAATAATTTGAAAATAAAACCCTACTTATATTAGCATTGTTGTTGGTGACTTTCATCTCTTAAAATTGTGGAAATCAAACACAAAAGAGTTCCTAATTCTTTCACAAATAGCCAAAATATCTTTGTAACCCCCACTTCTACTGTTGCTAGTGAAAATGCATTTAGTCTAGGGAGGAGGGTCGTGAACCCTTTTAGGGTATCCGTGACTCCTAAAATAATGGAGGCACTAGTGTGTACAAGTGGTTGGCTTAGGGCAGGTGAAGTAAACTTCTACAAGGACCAACGGAAGATATGCTTCAATTTTACAAGGAAATAGAAGAAGAGAAAACAAGAAAGATATGCTTTAATTTTTTTAGTAAATTTGTTATTAAATGGTTTTCAACTTTAATTCTTCTTGCTACTAATTAATATGTTTTCTTTGTTTGTATTGTAGGCTTGACATAAACTCAATCTTCTACAAGTTCAATGCCTCCTCCAAAAGCTTTGACATCTCAAGCTTGAATAACTGATCAATGAATTCTCTTTTTTGAAGTTTACTTCCAATTTTCATTTGGTTTGAAACTTTAATTTCTATTTGGATTGTTAACTTCTATTTGTTTTGGTTCGTAACTTCTATTTGGATTGTAAGCTTAATTTTCATGATGAATCTTGATGCTTCCTTTGAATTATTATGTGTGTGAATTGTGAATGATGAATAATAGATGAATTTAATCTATAATGTATGAGATAAAGGTACAAAAAAAAAGTTTTGCCCTTGAATTGGGTTAAAAAAACAAAAACATATTTTGTCCCAAAACAAAATAGCAATTATCATTGCCATACCATACCAACCAAACTTTTGGCAATACCGAACTTCGGTATACCGAAAGTTTGGTACGGTAATGGTAATAGATTTTACCAAACCGAAAGTTTGGTACGGTAATTGGTACAAGGGTTTTGGTACGATAACCGTACCGAACCCACCCCTACTAATAATGATTAAATAGTCGTCGCACATTAACAACCATCGCATGCCTTCACTTGGGACTTGCACCATTTAAAGCAACCATTGGTTAACAAGACCTTTGCACTAACCCACGAACTTCATCATTAAGTAACCACTTATTATATAATCCTTACTTAACCCCTTCAACAAAGCACCTTAACCATTTCGAGCCCTCAAATTCTCAATTCTTCAATCCTTCCCCCCTTAATTCCAACTTTTCCTCCTATCTTCCTTTCAAAGTCCTCAATCGCACCCAAAGTTGCCCGAATTCAAACTGCTTACGAGACTGGTGAGGGGATTTCCACCATGTGTTCGTCTTCTCAATGGCCTTCATCGCCCTCGGGCAATCCTGCATATTGAACTCTTTTTTAGGAGGGAGGAGTACACTTCTTGGGACATGCATGGATTTCTCAGTTATTGGCTTCTGCAACATCCTCAGATAGGCGCACTGCGTCCAGCTTTTGTTTCAGGACTTCTATGGCTTTGGGGAGTAGCCGGGAAACTTTAATCGCACTGGTAAATTCCTCTTGTGAATATAAAGCTATCTTCCCTTACACTGGTATCCACAAGCCTATACCTCCATATAGCTTCTGCTTTCTTGATCACTTCATCATCATAGGTGTATGCTTTGGGATCAACTACCATGACAATGTCAAAGACTATGGTAGGACTTGTGGAAGAATGCTTTGCTATGGAGGCAAGGATTACAAAGGTGTCTTCGGCAACTAAGAGATTGGAAGAGTAACCGTCCATACAAAACAGCCTTACCAGAAGATTGAAGAAGTCAAGAAAGTAAATGTTGAAGTTGAAGATGCTGACGCTCTGTTAGCCTTTTTAGGATAGCTACCTTAGCCAAGGATGTAAAACTATTGATCTGTGACTTCAACATTAATGAAATGAAAATGACTTCTTCAATCCTCTTTAACTTGTATTTTCTCATTGAAGCTTAACTATGATGAGCATATAAACTGACTCTTGGATCCCTTATAATGTTTAAGCTTCTTCCATGTAACAATCCCTAACATCCCACAAGGTTGGGTGATATTTCTTTAAAAACTTAGCGTTGATTGGATTCCTCTGTAAGCTTCCTTCCAAATTTGCCAAGTAATATCCTCAAATCTTGTTTCATTGGGGGATTAAAGTCAGAATTGAAACATGATGTGAAGCTACTGAAACCCATAAATGTTCTTGAAGCTGTAGCTTTTGCTCATCAAATTGATGCAAAAATCACAGATCTTAAGGTAAAAGCTAAACCCCCTTATCTGCAATCAAATTTTCGATCTCCGTTGCAAAGCTTGAATACTACTGTGGTTAATGATAATCGTCCAAGACCTTCCAACATTATGTGATTATGTCATGAGGAAGTAAATCATTGTAGGAAAAATGGCTTATGTTTTCATTGTAAAGAACGATTTGTTAAAGGGCATACTTGTGAAAGGAAGCAACTCCCTTTGATTGATGTGCAAGATTCTGAATTGTGTGAAACTGAGGATTTGGAAACTAAGGAACCAGAGATTACCGCTTGTGCATTGTTTGGCACCCTTGCACCTTCAAC